GAGTTAAGTAATTCACTCCAGATCACGGCGAATCCTGTCATTTTCAGGCTGAGTCCGTCGGAAAAACACGACAACATAAGCTGAAGATGGTTGCTAATAATCATTTCAACCAAGCACGAACTTGATTCCCAGCTTATTTACAGCAAGCTGGCTGGTCGGTGTGATCAGCTGATGACAATGATGACTAATGCAGTTTTTGCTTCCTTTTTGTTATAAAGGAGCACAAGATATCCTAGCATTTATATGCCATGTACTAACAACGTGACTGCACAAGTAAAATGGGTGTCACAAATTAAAAACCAACGGAAATGACACATACGACGTCGGCGGCACGTGACACGTGCCGCCGACGTAAACTATCAATAATTAATTAAGATTACGACGCCAGCAGCACGCAAAATTACGTTTGACAATTACGTATAAAAAATCCATCGGCGGATATCCGCCTGCTGCTCTAAGGCTAAGGCACCAAGTCAAAAAGGGACGGAGTCTCAGCGATCACGGATGGCGCGGCGGGCCAACAGAGGCTTCTGTCAACGAGTAAAGGGTCTTCAGAACAGGCGAGAAGAGCCCAAGATCAATGTGGTGGACCCATGGACGACCAGGAGTGCTACAGCACTCTAATATGTAGGTCTCCGACCAGAACAAAGGAGAATATCCACAGACCAGTTAGCATGAATAAATTCCCCTGTGAGATCAAGAGTGCCCGGGCAGGTTAACAGAAAGGGTCCCGATAGCAGTGAAGGGCCCTCCGCAAGCTAGATCAAAGCAAAAGAGCCTAGATTAATGTAGAGGACCCCTGAGCATCGAGTGGCTTGGTACATTACCTTATATGGGCCCCAGCAACAGCGCAAGGCCCTGCGAGCAAGTGGAAAGAACCCGAGACCACTATCAACTACCCTAAGCAAATCACTGTACCCGATATATTGCGCCCCGGAAAAAGCGAACAGGGCCTTTCGGGCGAATGGGAAGAATCCGTGGAGGGCCGCTGATCGATTCAAGAGTGCCCAAGCATGTTAGCATATAGTGTCCCAACAGCAGCGTAGCGCTGTTCGGGAAAATGCAAAGAGATCAAGGAGAACGTGGAATGCTCCTTACCGATCAGACTGACCCGACAAGTGGACATACAGGGCCCTGGCAGCAGCGAAATGCCCCTAGACAGCACGAGGAGCCCAAAAATTTCCCCAAATTACCGCCCTCTTGATCAGCGAAAAATTAGCTTTGTCTGCTAACGGGCTATTCACTTTCGCTTGTGAATGTCCTTAGTCGTCTGGAGGCTCACAGACGTCCAAGTATGTTGTGCTTTGTGCTAGAAAACTGCGTCCGTTCGGCCGATGATGGGCCCCTTCGGAGCCTTTGGGCCTTCTTTGGGGCACAAGGGGATACGGTTCCGAGCCCCCACACACTTCGGACCCGCCACTGGCCCAAACAGTTTAATGGGGGGGGGGGGGGAGTCCCTACGAGAACATAGGGTCATCCACCCAACTAAAAAGTACCCAAGTCTCTACATGGAGAGCCCAGGAACGCTCATGTGTGCTCGAGTACGTTCAAAGATGAATACCACTAACAAGAGTGTAGGTCCCTCCATTCAGAAAATAACTATCCACGAGACAATGCGGAAGGCCCCCAAACGAACGAGTGCACCCGGGCAGGTTAACACATCGGGCCCCCAACAAGAATGTGGGGCCCTCAATTGAAAAAGGAAGCACTCAAGAGCCAATGTAGAGGGTCCTCAAACAATCAAGTGTGCCCAAGCAGGCTTTCAGGTGGGCTCTGACAGGAGCGTACGGTCCTGCGTGCAAATACCAAAACCCAATGCAGGGGCCCCGAACAGTGCGGTGCGCCCGAGGTGAATTTGGAGGGCTCCAAACGACCGAGTGTGCCCAAGCAGGTTAAAACACGGGGCTCCAACAAGAGTGTAGGGCCGTAAGCAAGGGGCACAGAATTGGAAGAGCCACACACCAACTTAGTGGACCCATGGGTATATCGCGAGTGTGTGTGGGTAGGTTGCCCGAGACCAACGTGAAGGGGCCCTGAACAACCGACAATAGCCCGGCAGGTTAATATGTGGGGCCCCCGACAGTAACGTAAGCCTTTCGGGGGAATGGGAAGAGCCAGTGAAAGGCCCCTGATTAGCAAGAGTGCCACGGCATGCTAGCAGAAACGGTCCCAGCAGCAACGCAAGGCCGAGCAAATACAAAGAGATCGGGGGCAACGCAGAAGGCACCTTAACGATCGGATCGATTCATGCAAGTGGACATTTAAACTGGGTGGCCCCTGAAACAGCGAATGGTTTCTGGATAGCGTAACAAGCCTTGGAACCTCCCGATCACTACCCTCCCAATCAGTAAATAATACGTCTGTCTACTCGTGGGTCCTTCACTTTCGCTTGCGGCTGTTTGCGGCTGCGGTCGCCTCGAAGTTCATGGTCGTCCAGTTTTGTATAAAACCCTGGGCCTGTTCGGTCGGTTACGGGCCTGTTCGGACCCTAAGAGGCCTCTTAGGGGCCCAAGGGGCATAGCCCCTTATCCCCGCTCTGGATCCACTCCCACGTCTTGTTGAAAGCCTCTCGTTGAAAAAAGACATCTAGTAACTAGAATGCGCAGAGGTGGCAGAAACGAACAATGGCTGTTTCGCGCAGGTCACAAAATGTTGCTCCAAATGTGTAACGGCGTCTCAGAAAGTAAGGAGGAGCAATGCTAATTATGAAGTCCACTCTTTCCATATATCGACGTGGGGCGCGTCGGGAGGTTTTGTCATTTTAATGTAAAGCCTAATGTACATTCTCAAAAGTGGGAGCATGCCCCCTGTTCGCCCCTCAACAGACATTTCATATCTTATGATATATAAATATAATATATATATATATATATATATATATATATATGTATATATACATATATATATATACATATATTGCAAAAGAAAGATATATACCTATATGTATATAATCTGTGTGTGCATATATGCGTGCATGTGTACACATAAAAAAACGGTGCAATAAAATTGACGGTTCGCACGCAGTTAACTGGGTCCATGCAGACAAAGCAGACGTGACTGTGGTCAAACGAGGGGTGAACTTACTTAAGTACCCTGGTGGGTACGTGTACCTTACCAATTTTGTTTCATGTGTTCAAATGTGCATGAATAAATGCCAGCAATTTAAAACCGTCCGGGTGGTCTGTGAATACGACGCGCTCAAGTGGGCTGGGAAGCCAATTCGACCACGAGATGCACAAAAATTAGTTATGATTGGACGCATTGAATTAACAGGTAAGGGCTCATTAACAAGGGCTCTCTGTGCATATTCGGATAAAAATCTAAACTCGAGATCCCGTTTTCTAAAGTACCCTCAGGCCTCAAAGCGGAGCCAATTTTAGGCTCTATACCTTTCTAGGCAAAAGGTCAGTCGGGGTCATATGAAATAGGATTACTTTATTTACATTTAAGCCATTACAAATTGCTCAAAACCATTCAAATTATTGTATTATTTGAATTACAAATCAGCATCAACAACTATTCTGGGCGACATGACCCTCAAAGCAAATGTTGACCAAGGTCATTTTAGGTAATTTATATCCCCTACCGTCCATGAAGCCCAGCTAGGAGATCTGTTGGTGTCCTGGCGTCCAAGTGTGACCAAATTTCGAATGAAATGAACGTCAAAAACTACCCCCAGAAGCAACTTTCCATGAAAAATATTTTGTTTTGACTGTGGCCCGACCTTCATAACTGACTCAATGTCGACACAATTAGTTGTTACCATAGCTTCAGTCGTTTTACTGCCAAAAATACATCCTAGTTTCAAGACGTCGTCTAGCAATCCGGTACAGCTTGAACGATTCCCAACTCTTCGCTGGCAATGATAGCCTAACTGGCCTGCTACCGGGTCAGTGACCTTATAAGACATACATACTTCTACACCTAAGGGTCACCTATTCAAATGCATATGGCTGCAAGGACTTGGTGGAGCTATACCACACCGGAAGTCGTCCTTCAGCGAACTTAAGTGGGTAAATGGGTCACTCAACCTGCGTGCCTAACAAAGTTCGGTGTAGGCATGTTGAACCAAACAGATGATAGCAGGACATGTTGATTTACCCCATGCAAGAATTTTGGTCCTAGTTGTGAGTTTTTTCGTGTTGTGGCCCCCTCCTTACTCCCAATTGTGAATTACCGTGGCTGTGGCGTGGCTGAGTCAAAACCAGGCCGTGTGAAGTGCTCCTGCCTCACCCTAGATTTCCCCCCCGGAACGAATGTCAAAAAGCACTGAATGTTTTTAGCACTTAAGTCGGCCGTCAGCCACAGTAACTAAGTAGCGCGTCAACGTTTGACAAGTTTTTAGGCAGTCCGAGGGGAGGGGGAGGCATGACACCGAAAAAGCAACGCGAAGTTCTACTCAAGCCCAATTAAAGAACAAATTTCCTACCGAGGGTCAGGTCCAATCACAGATCGTTAACTGGATCCGTGGACTGCGTTTGCAAGCGAGGCGCGTCACCCGAGCCACAAATATGTATTAAGAATGCACACATACCGTAAAGTAAATCCTTACTGGCCCCGGAACCTCCAAGCCGTACCTTTAAAGCACAATACAGTGATGCAAAATAGCCAACAGGCGGTGCATGCGACGCCGAAACTGACAATGCGACCAATGCAGGCCTACACTAATGCAACAAACCCGAATATACGGTCCTGGACAATGCAAGCAAATGTTTGTGGTGCAGGCCAAGAGGATTCAAGAAGCATGCAGCAGAAGTCCCAATGCGTTTTGTAAATTTCATAAACTGCGCATGTCTGTTCACAAAAGAGTGCTTAAACATACTTTAAGAGTGGAAATGAATTTTTTTAATTTTCTGAAAACATAATTCTATTTTAACGGTAGTTTTAACTACGAAACAGCTTTTATATAATGTGATAATGTATTTATAACAATCCTGAAAATGCTGTTAGACAATTGTGACTTGTGAGATACAAAATCATTTTTCTCGATTCCATTCATTCCACAACTTTGGCCTGTTGGGAATTTCAGTCGGCGTTCGTCGGAGACCTCGCGTTTTTTTGTAATAAGCATTTGGTCATGCAGATCTCGCAGCAAATTTAGTTTTTAATCATTCCTGATGCCATCCCGAATCAGGGGTGTAGCTTCCCTTCAGCGTAGTAAGGTCCAGTCTCAATAACTTAGGAGGCAAAATATTGTGCAAAGTCCGGGAAGAAACACGCTTCTCCTTGAAGGGATTTGGGGATAGGATAAGTCGTTTTCTTCTCCTCAGTTGCATTTATCAGTTTTCTCCCAACTTATGCTGCAAAATACACCCCTCATGACCAGCAGTTATTTTCTTGCAAAGGGGACTTGAATTAGGTGAGCAATTTTGTAACAGTATTTGTAAAAGTTCAGGGAAGTTTTCTGTGCAAACTTGATGCTGTAGACCTTAAAGGTGTAATGCCATGGAAATATCACTACTGGCACATACTTGTTAACTGAGAGACCTGTAAGTGTAGTGCTTAAACATAGTTGGCAGCATAACCATAATGCTGAGGTCATATAACCATGTACAAGACATTATCTAGCTACAGGACTTATTAAAATCAACTGTGTGCAGAAGTTTAACAGTTTGAGGAAGCACTAACCAGTTGAAAGGAAAACACTCTTAGAACTGGCCCAAGGGCCATTGTGCCTGGCTGAAAAAGATAAGAAAGCTCAATTTATTTGCAGTGTTTAGACATATCTATCTTGTTCCCAGTACTTACCAGTAGGGCCGCACTTTTATTGCTGATAGTCACTTCTTATAATTATGTAGACATCATGGGCTTATGTAGAAAACAAAGCAAATTATACAATAAGAATGGACTATTGCATCAGTTAAGACATCAGTTTGACAACATCACAGCATTATTTGCCTTGTCACCAACCAGTGTAATTGTCTGCAAGTAGTTGTAACACTTGATAACTTCTTTAGCTTTTTATTTTCCTAAATGTAAACCAGAAAATACTGGCTGAGTTGTGTGGGTTCTTTGAACAAGGAGTATCTGTCAGAAAGGTCTCTTTCTGTTTGATGAGTTTGGCTATTTTGAAATTGTGATTATTTGTATCTGGGGTGATATATGTAAGGTGATGCATTAAGAGAACATGTGATTGGTTTATTTGATGGCAAAGACTGCTATCTTCATTTAGGGAAAGGTGCAGATACCCTGCCCATTACAACAATATATGCTTTCAAGATATAAGAAGATATGGAAGTCATACAAGTATAGATTTGTACCATGGCTAATATTTAACTTAAAGAACAGGTTTGTTGTATTATATTATTTACATGACATTTTAAAGAAATGTTACATCTGTTACTCAATGCTGTCTTCTAATGCTCCAAGAGTGTGTGCAGTTTTCAAAGTGAAAATAAAAGTGCAGGCCATTGAGCACTTCATGGCTTAAAAAATCATTGATTTATTTTGTATAGATAGACAAAATTTTAAATATTTTTATTCTCAATCAGTCTCCCACTCTTCTTCTGAACTTTCCTGTTGCTCATGTTTGCCCCTATGCCTAAGTTAGCTCTCATGCACATTTTATCTCATTGATGGGCAACCATGTGTCCTTGGAAGGGGAGGAATCAGGTAGCCTTATTGCCTATAATAAAACAACAACAGCCTGATATTGGATTGTGGCTGTCCTGTTCATGTTCCCAATTATGTGCAATGTGGTGCTGTCCAAGTTTAAAGCTTAACAAGCATGACAATCACTTCAACTAGCTTGTTGAGTTCAGTTGCCATCAATCAGGTGTGATGTGTGTATTGAAGGTATTTGCTACTTTCAGATCTGTTCGAAGAGAAGTGGGCGGATGCCAGGATGATACTTTGCAACATGATGCCCTTGTCGATTCTGTCTTTGATGTCCTTACTTTGTTAACTGGCCATCTTTGTCCACTACATGACTATCAGAAGCAACATGAAAAGGCAAATCAGGTAACCATTTGACCTTCATAATTTTAGACTGATGTGACACATTAACATGCATGTCTTTGAATCCATTTTTAGCTGAAAAAAATAGCATGCTCAGAGGCAGAGGAACCATTAATGTGCCAAGCACTAAGATAAGATCGGAAAGATGACCTGAGCCAAGATAGGCGCAGCTGTTGCAGTAAATCACCACCATTCATGAAACTCTCTTATTTCATCGCCATCGGCATGTTACTTCGGCCATGTCGCCGTGCTCCCTGCCACTGCAGCGACGCATCGTTTCCCGGAGGCGAGCCACTGCAGCCCACAGCGCGTGTCTCTGACTGACCCCCCCGGTCGCTGTGGGTCGCGTCGCCCGCTGAGGCGGCGTCGCCAGTGACACCCCGCCCGGTCGCTGTGGGTCGTGTCGCCCGCTGAGGTGGTGTCGCTAGTGGCACCGCACCCGGTCGCTGTGGGTCGTGTCGCCCGCAGAGGTAGTGTCGCCAGTGACACCCCGCCCGGTCGCTGTGGGTCGTGTCACCCGCTGAGGTGGTGTCGCCAGTGACACCCCGCCCGGTCGCTGTGGGTCGTGTCGCCCGCAGAGGTAATGTCGCCAGTGACACCCCGCCCGGTCGCTGTGGGTCGTGTCGCCCGCTGAGGTGGTGTCGCCAGTGGCACCGCACCCGGTCGCTGTGGGTCGCGCCGTCCGTCTGACTGACCCATCCGGCCGCTGCCGCAGCTGCTGCTCACGCGGCTCGGCTTCCAGCTGCGCCGACAGCCGAGCCGTGCGCCCGGCGCCGGCGAAGGGGTGGTCGTGGCGCGCGGCGTCGTGCCGGCCGGCGCCGTCTGCTGCTGGTACCCGGGCACCGTCTACCTGCCCGGCGACCCGCTGCTGCTCGCCTCGCTCGCCAACCCGTTCGTGTTCGGCTGCGCGGACGGCGTGCACGTGGACGGGCGCGGTGGCGGCCTGAGCGGGCTGCTGTTCGGCTCGTGCGCTGGCCGCGATTACCTGGGGCCGTTCCCGGCGGCCGACCGGTCGTGGCGCGGCCGCTGGCCCGCCAACCCGCTCGCCGTCGGCCAGTTCGTCAACAACCACGGCCCCGGTGGGTGACTGGGCTGTGTTCGTCATGCTCGGCTGTTTCCGTTGGATGATGTGTGCCAGTTCAGTGGCGAAGCGTCATTTTTTTGCGGGATATGTATGTGCAGAATCTTTTGTGTTCCTCGCATTTGTAGTGCTTTCACGACATTTTGTGGGCTTGGGTTAGATATTGGGGACCAGGCTATGCACCGGGAACAGCTCCTTGAAAACTTACGGAGCCCCAGGTATTTGTTACACTGGCTAATGTTTTTGAGCTGGTATCGATCGGCTGGTTTGGGCTATGCAGAGAATTGCTGTCTGCACAATAAGTCTCACTTCACCATCTATTCACTCGCTCTGTCCCCGTAACGTGAACCTTCGGACTGGAGTTTGACTGGAGTTTGTTCGTACCATTATCAAGCGCAATGTTATGGGATTTCCACGTTCCCGTCGCAGGCTTCCCCAGCAACGTCTGCTACCAGGAGGTGGACCTGCCTGCAGTGCCGTACCCGCTGAGGCGGTACCTGCCGTACGCCTGGTACCGGGCGCGAGTGCCGCCCCCGCTGCGAGTGGTGGTGCTGGTCGCCCTGAGGGAGATCTCAGCTGGCGAGGAGCTCTTCTCGAACTACTTCACTGTGGTGCAGGATAGGTGATGTTGCTGGAACTGAAACAGCCGCCGTTATTTCTAGTCAGCTCACTCCATCTGGGCAGTTTACATAAGTGGGATGGTGCTACGCCACAGCTTTGATAATCGGGTCCTTATGTATGTGTTGTATTGCTGGAATCGCAAAAATGTATGAAACAAATATATGCGAGTTTTGTTACTGGTCTGTGGTCGTACATGCATGCAATGTATTCCGTCCTGATAAATATGCGGTGCTCATCGGTCATTCGGGCAATGAACCATCAGACATTACAATTACACGCTCGCGTTGATATAGATGCGGTGTTCAGCACATACGAGCTAACGCCGATTTTTTCTGGGGGAGGTTTGGAGTTGATCGCAATCACCTAAAACATAGTGTAAAGAAAAAATGCATTGTTTGCGTCGGCTTGTTGGCAGTGCTCCATGTGATGCCCTCAGTGATCCGCCAGTCGGCATCCTCCGTGCTCCGCCAGCCGGTACCCACAGTGATCCGCCAGTCGACATCCTCAGTGGTCCGCCAGTCGGCACCCTGATCCGCAGTCAATACCGTCCGTGGTCCGCCAGTTGGCACACTCAGTGATCCGCCAGTGGACATCCTCCGTGGTCCGCCAGTTGGCACCCTCAGTGATCCGCAGTCAATACCCTCCGTGGTCCGCCAGTTGGCACACTCAGTGATTCGCGGTCAATACCCTCCGTGGTCCGCCAGTCGGCACCCCCAGTGATCCGCAGTCAGTACCCTCCGTGGTCCGCCAGTCGGCACCCTCAGTGATCCGCAGTCAATACCGTCCGTGGTCCGCCAGTTGGCACCCTCAGTGATCCGCAGTCAATACCGTCCGTGGTCCGCCAGTTGGCACCCTCAGTGATCCGCAGTCAATACCCTCCGTGGTCCGCCAGTTGGTACACTCAATGATCCGCAGTCAGTACCCTCCGTGGTCCGCCAGTCGGCACCTTCAGTGATCCGCAGTCAATACCCTCCGTGGTCCGCCAGTCGGCACCTTCAGTGATCCGCAGTCAATACCCTCCGTGGTCCGCCACTTGGTACACTCAATGATCCGCATTCAGTACCCTCCGTGGTCCGCCAGTCGGCACCTTCAGTGATCCGCAGTCAATACCCTCCGTGGTCCGCCAGTCGGCACCTTCAGTGATCCGCCGTCAATACCCTCCGTGGTCCGCCAGTCGACACACTCAGTGATCCGCAGTCAATACCCTCCGTGGTCCGCCAGTTGGTACACTCAATGATCCGGTAGTCAGCAAATAATTTAGCGTCTGAGCGTCCGGTGTGCCACTCCACGCCATTGCCTTACAGGCTGCAGCACCACCTACAGCACGCACTGCGTTGAGGCGCGCCGTAGTAATTCTGCGTAGATGGCACCACGTTAGCCGTCCTTGTGATTAAAGCGCTCCCTATAAAATTCTAGATCGCTGCCCTTGTGCGGAAAGACGTGCTGTGGCGGAAGCCGGCAGTCAGGGAACGGTCGATGTGTGGGCATCATTCTGGCGATTTTTTGTGTTTCTGGGAATACCCGATGAGTGGGTGTCCCTGCGCACGTGATGCTCACGCGAATCTTCAACCAATGCTTCCATTGAATAGCGACGGAACTTCTCCCCGTCATGGTAGACCAGATGTTCTGATGAGACTCAGCCGTACCATACAGTACGTTTGCGTAGATGCAATGCCACACTTCTGCGTTGTACGAGGAATCAACGGGCTGTCGATGTGTTCTCACGCACCACCGATAAAAGCAATGGCATTGGTTTCAAATGGCTGTAGACGTATTATAAGACACTGGCAATGATAGCAATGACATTGGTTTCTAAATGGCGCAGTGTTTAGGGTAATGTAGCTGCATTCATTCCAACTCGACTACTGCGCCGTGGGAGTGCCGTGCAGTTTGCAGCAATGATGCCAAGCGCATGCCAGGAGACGACGTTCACATAAAATCCGGGAATGCAGCTATCTTGTTGCAGCTATTTTGCTGTTTTACATTAGCGAACAAGTCGAACCAATTCGAAGTGAGTGGAAGCACAGCCCAAGGTTTGTCAGTGTAAAAAAAAACGTACCGCGTGCGCAGACGTGCGATATGCAGCTGCGTAGTTTCATCTTCAGCTCCCTCTACTTTGAGAGAAAAGTGAGTCAAAGTCGGGTAGGAATCCGCTTGTTCGCGGATTTTGCGGGAGGTTCCATCTTTCTTGGTTTAGCCCCCCCCCCCCCTCCACGTTACTTAGCGAAACTACGACCCTGGCGAGGTGTGCATGACGCATAACCTGGGATGTTTTCAGTCTACTCATTTTCTTGTCACCTTTAGTTGTTAACTGCTGACATTTATTCACCCGCATATTGATGTATGCCGAATTTGATAGGGCAGAGGCATGATATTTGCCCCGGCGCTCCCTCGAATACACCCCCGCGCTCCGTGCACTATACCAGAGTGCTGCATGACCTACAGCAGTCGATGCCCCCCCCCCCCCCCCCCACTATACCAGAGCGGCGCGGTTTGAGCATGACCCGCTTATGCGCCCTCCGCATTAGGGTGTTCGGTCTTCACTATGAGCATCACGTAGCGACTATGTAGCCCATCGAGAGCCCATCATCCCGGAAGCAGACGATGGCGGGGCCGTAATGCCTCGTCGTCCAGTGCGTCCCTGTAAGTGGCCGCAGATGCCGCGGTGCAGCTCGGTGCTCGTGACGACACCGTCGGCCGCGCCAACGGAGCCCGCCTGCCGACCGCTCGCACCCGGAGACGACAGACAGCCACCACTTCCACTCGCCAGAAATTGACGATGAAGCCGTCCCAGCGGCAGGTGGTCATGAATTTCGGCGGTGTCGCGACGCCCGGCTCGGTCGGCAGCGTCGGCACGTGCTCGACTTGCGCAACGCGAGCCTGACGCATGCCTTCGAGGATGTCAACACTAAATCATGGCGCTGTAAGGACTAGAAAGGTGCTGGCTCGGAGTCTACGATATCCTGTGGTAACGCTGCTTTCAACACAACTGTGAACGCTTATTGGCATATTTGCTTACCTATAAAAGCATTCAGACTTCGGTGTGTCCGGGAGCTCAAAACTGGCACGGCAATGACGGCGTTAAAATGGGGCCCATACTGGAATAATTTTCTCCCCCGCATAACGTGCGGCGAAAGCATTCCCGCTTGGATCCTACCTCATGCCGTCGCGGTTTTTTCCACTATGTGACGCCAATGCATCTCTAATGCGTTGGCGTTTATAAATATTAAAAAAGGTTATATTGAGGGTCACGGAATGCGGGACCTTTCCGCACGCACCATGGATACCCCAGATTACGTCCACGTAATGTGTGAACCTAGGGGCCGCGTCCTCCATCAGCAAACGCGACATGCCCTCCTCTTAGCAAGCCCACCCGAAAGGTGGCATAGCTACCTGCCCCACCCTTGCCGTCACGACCCAAGCCCATTTCTAACTCGACCGAGAGGCGGACTAAATGAGATTGGATACAAATAAATCGTCGCTGTTTGCACAGTAACGCGTAGCAATGACCAACCCGTTGTGACGGTCTTCGCGGTTTCCATGGGGTTGGAGCGGCTGATTTCATTTGTTAGCCGCATTTGCAATTGCAAGCGCTCTTCACTGTCGCGCATCCAGGACGTCACGTCCTGCAACCTCAATGGGAGGGGGGAACTAGCGTACCAGGCCATGAACAGCTGGGCCCACGTGTACAAATTGAAGCGGGCGCGACGCCCGGCGCACCGAGCGCGCCGAATACAGAGCTCACGATCCATACAAAATAAGCGATGCGCCGATAGTTGGAGCGCAGCAGCTGGCTGGTGACTGGTTGGGCCTACATATAGCGTGCAGCGCGAAGAAGCGACGGACGCCGCCAGGTACCCCCGTGGTATGCCAACCCCACGTCTCTCCCGTCCCCCAACCGTTCCATAAGCTTGGCGTGTTTGGCGGCACCGGCCTGCTCTTCACGGTGCTCCTGGCCCTTCACACAGCGTCCCGTTACTTCTGACCGTGTATTGGCAACATCACAAGTGGGCCTAATACAGCCGCTGGGGCGGTCCCATGGTGGACTTGACGTGCAGCGAGCGCACGTTCTGCCAGTGCTTCTTCAGCAGCGACACCAGGAAGTTGACGGCCATATGGGTGTTGATGACCAGCTCGTCGGGTGTCATCTCCACGTGGCCCAGCACGACTGACAAGCACAGCACCTGCGGACAGCGGCGGCGTTACCACCGAGGACGAGTCCTAAACACGAACGCGGTACGTGCCGAAGGAGCACGCGCACTGTATAACACAACAAGGATGATCAACACTGCAACCAACCAAACACAACAGATGAAGCCGACCACCTTACAGCTTCATTTCAGACACAGATGGTGTCCAAATGACATCAAGAATAACCCAGCTGACATGGCACCAATAAGTAACTCAAGATTTGAAGCAACTCTGCCTTGTAGCATTACCTTCTTCATCTGGAACTTGATGGTGCTCTTGATCTCATCGACCTTGCCGGTCATGCTCTCGCCGTGGGTCAGCAGACCCGGGAACTTGCCAGCCTTGTTCAGGCCAGGTCCGAGGATCCTGGGGATCTGCTTGATGATGGACTCAGAAGCCAGGAAAGCATCATACTTCTTGGCTGCAGAATAAAGGAGGGGACATGTAAGCATGCATGCTGTGGAAAATCCCAATTTGAGTAACTACTCGCGACCCTACACAGGTGCCAGCAGTGGAATGGTTAGGGGGTCCACGTTCATGCGGTTTTGAACTACAGCCGCCTTCTTGTAGACCTTTCAATGCTGTCCACAACCCCGTCCTTGACACCTTCTAAAGCCACTGTAGTTTCTGAACTTTATGCTAATGAAAGTGGGGAGAGTATTTAAAAGTCCGCCTGGCATGCATAATGTCACATCATATTAAAGTAATTCAAATCCTGTCATTCAATAAACCGTGTAGTAATCAAGGCCAAGACAAAAAAGTTGGCGTGGCATTCATATCTGGCGTTAATGAGCACGATCCCCACACATGACGGCTGTCAATTTGCTCTCAATCAATGTTGTGTGAAGTATCATGATGTTATCAAACCATGACACATTGAGCACTATATTTACTGAACAGGAATTGTGCTGTCTGGAGCAGTCTCTTCCACTTGTAATTGTAACCACAGTTATATGAGTTTGTTTTACCATACTTCATGCTTGCTTCAATATTTTCAAATGTGAAACACTCTCTTTAACATGCCTGTGTTAACTACTGTAAGTCTCAGAAACCATAGGCATCGGGGTTTGATCCCTGCAGTGCCCGCCCTTCCAGTCGGGGTGAGAGGCAGGTGATGCCACATAGCCTCAGAAGCTGAGTGCTGTGCAAAGTACCAATGACAAAAACATGCCTGCTTGTTTGTTCATTACCACTTTTTAGCATTGCCACAACTCATACAAAAAAGCTGCACATATTTCAGGAAGTCACATCAATTCTGGTCAACCCACGATTACCCAGACACCATGCTCATTCATTTCATTGCAATTCAATCTTTTGCACACAGTGCAAAAGTTCTGTAACATACAATCTCTATAAGTGACCTACCTAGCTTCTTAACAAGCTTCTTGTTCTTGTTCAGCTTCTTCAAGGCCTCCACATCCATGAATGGCAAGTTGTTGGCCTGGGCCTCATCACAATGCAGCTGGTCGCCCAGGATGCACACCTTCATGGCCGGACGAGGCATGTTGCGCAGCCTGTGTTGAGGTGATATAACTAGTGAGGACCAGCAACATAGCACATGTTAACAGCCCAGTGTTCCCAATTATCCAACTTAGTGGTAAGGATGCAGAAATGCATGCTACTGAAGCCACTGCTCAGCCATGCTGATTCCTCCCCCACTTGAGACAAACTGATCAGCATTAGACTGAACAAATGGTACTCAACTCTGAGTGGTAGTCATTACTAGTGAACAATGGCCAATCCAGCAACACTTGCTAGTCTGATACAGTTCACATAGGCTTTTATCATTATGCAAGCTGCAGAAACAGACATTCATGAAAATTACAGAACTCATAAATTGAGAGCAAACATGCTGTGACACAAGACAACACAAAATATACCTGTGCATCTGTGACTGACAGTTTTGTGATGCTCATCACCCTGGAGTGATGGCATCTGCCCATTTTATTGGTAAGGCCCTGGGTGAGGGCCCGCCCCGAAGGGCTTCCCAGAACAAGGGGTTTTCACCGGCCTTGCTTGGGCAGACATACTTGACAGTTCCTGAGAAACGCTTGTCCTTCTGGGGGTCATAGTTCTTCAGGCCGATCTGGAGCTCCACCGTCTCGCGGAACTTCCTCTTCTTCTTCTGGGCTCCATCCAGGACAGCATTTACACACTCATAGAGAGTGTCTCTTGACACTTTTCTGAAATAATTTGTTGGTTGTAATGAATTGCATTTGTTTTTTTGACCAGGTGGTCTTCTGATTATTTTTTGCTAATTCAGGACATGGGCCTCTGGTACCCACCTCTCCTGCCAGGGTAAGAGGCAGGTAGCAACACAACACCTCAAGTTTCTTTTTCAGGCCTATGATATCCAAACCAGTTCTATCACAAGGTTTATGGCCTTCCAAACCATGTCAAGGATGCAACCATGGGCATACTAGATGACTCAATATACAAACACCTGCAATTCTGTGCATGTAACTGATAATTTACATATAAAACACACATGGCACCTGTCACATGTAATTCTGCATAAGGAATCATGGGGTTATATATATCCCACATAAGGCACCTGACATTTCAGCATGGTCCTTGCCTACTTCACCAGCACTTATGTATGACAAAATTAGTTCTTCAACAGTTACATATTCAGGTAAACCACCAGCCATTTGTGATAACATACTTCTGTTGACCTGCCACATCCAGCTAAACTATAGAAAACATGCTCAAAATGCATTCATCTGCCATCTTAATTTTGCATACCCATAGGGTGGAGGTCAAAACAAAGCAAGCATGTAAGCAAGATCCATTCCAGAGAGAAATGTGAAATGTTCTAATGTAAGTCACGCATAATTTTGGGAATTCTTCCAGGGATTATTTCTGATCCCTTTAACAGGAAGAACCCCCCTCCCCCCAGGAACATTTTGACTGATGCCACAAAGCCTTGCACAAGCCAGAATCAAATACTGGACAATACTGAAAGATCCAAGAAACATAGCTTATTGCAAAATCCCTATGCAAAACTAGCATCTCCAACCTGGCAGCTGTGATGTCCCTGTGTGCACCCATTGCAAAACAAAATCTGGACAAAAACTAAAGGGCAAATCTTATCACTTCATAAAAGCAGGGGGAGATCATCATAACTGACAAACTAAAGTCATCAGCAATTGGCCCATACTCCAGTGATGGAGTCACATGTTGTGTGACTCCACAACATGCAACTCCAGTGATGGAGTCACATGCTGCAACTTACCAAAGTGGTAAGCCATGAAACACACATACACACCCTACATACCTAGAAAGCACAGTGGCCACCATGCAGCTCAACAAGATGGTCTTCTAGGATCCTGATCATTGATTCTACCAGTCCAGGTCCAGGACAAAATTAAACCAAAAGCCTGCATCATAAGTTTCACACATAATTTTGAGATGGTTAGACCTTACTGGGTGAAAGCAGTTTTGACTGCCACTAGTAAATAGATGGAGTGAACAATCTAGTTATCAGACTTCATGACCCAGAGCTGGTAACACAACCCATGGGCATTAGTGCTAAAAAACTTGAGATGTGGATTACAAACTTAGATGGTCAAACCATGTGATTCATTTTAGCATGTGTTACCATCATGAGGAATGGTTTAGCACATTTTAGGTTATATTAGGTTAGGCATGGCTTGGCAAATTTAAGCAGTAACATAAAGCAAGGCCATTTTCAAGTTCTCCATATTCTTAACATAATTTGTAAAGCATGCAATTGCAGCATCATACTATTGTGTAGTGGCATACCCACCACCGCCATGATTAAGTCAGGGCATCATAGTCTTTTTGGAGTTGGGCATATTGAATGCTTGTGTAAGGCTATTTTTCTGCTACTCCAGCCCTGGTGAGATAAAATTGTGTAACTACCTCCCAGTTTAGCAGTGATGGGTGCTATGAAGACAAGTTTGACATCACATTTCTCAGCTATGAAAATAACCCAGTCACAAAGTGACCATGAGCCAGATTACAAAAATAAGTCCACTTCTTTAGACATCACTGTCATTGTTGCCACAGCTTCATATCAGGCCGAAATACAACCTTCAACTTCACCTGATTACATTTTGCACCCATTTTTTACTACATTAATTCAAATATTATGAGACAATAGATCTCAATGTTCTGAAATATGTGGCAACTGTTGAAAACCCAGGGTGCTCGAATTCGCATGCATACTCTGATGTTGCCGCAGTCACCTCTACACGGGATATTTTGACACACCGCATGTTTCTTGCAATCTGGTCCGCGATTAACAGTACGGATAAAGGGTAACCACACCTTTCTCGCATTACTTGAAATACATGAACGTCAAATGTAGCCCAAAATACCACAAAAATCAACCCCACCCCGCACCCTCGGCCGAACCAAGCATCATACCCAATCACGTGTCCGGCCTAAGTACCGTCGCAAGCAAGTGATGTTGTTAAGAACAATACAATCAATCACACACAATAATCTAATGTGCCACAAGCACGAAAATCCGTATTAGATAACTTACGACGACATTGCGTAGCCTCCCTTTGGTTACCCCCACCGTCCACTTGGAGCAGCAACCGGAAAAGGACGACAAAGAGATGAAATCTGCAAACCTTGTCATGTACAGAACACTTACTTCCAAAATAGTTTATTTGGGTTTATCACCATACATATAATTTTATTACTCGAAAATATTTGTTATAGTTCTCAAGACTCTCCTATTATCTTAAAACTGAAAAAACTGGTTGCTCTATTAGCAAGAGTATTATTGATGAGCTTGCCAGCATTCCGGGCAAATGCATGACACTCAGATAATATTTCTGTAGAAAATGTGGATCAGAGGTGTAACTGAAAAGGGTTTTGAACCATTTACAAACTTTTTTCCTAAAAATGAAGAACAGGCTTTATATTTAAATATATTATTTTTAGCTACCCTTGATATTTCTACATGTATAACGCAATGAAGACAAGCTGTTGTTGTTTTGTTTGACTGGTGTACTGGGGAGGATGCGGAGTTCTAGGATATGTTGGACATTGGGCTAGGTCTGGCGGCTAGACGTGATCATGAAAAGCGATTGGCCTGCGGATTTTGGTATTCAAGACTCCGCCATGAAACGAGGAATATTTTCACCTTGACCTCAACTCTGATCTGTCATGCTCAACGTCGTTTATTAGAGAAGGCTCCCATCAGTACGGAGCTTGGTCATTAGGTCATGAAATTATTAACCATTAGTGGTGTGAACAACGTGGCTGGAAAAACTATCATAGCCTTGCTTTCAGTTCATTTTAACCACCTGTCGATAGGAGTGAGCTGTCCATATGAGCTGATGTTAGGTGTGGGATGGAATGAGTGTACTGCACAACTACTTACATAAGCATGCCAGTTAGTTGTGGGCTTATCCACCCAGCAAAGGTTATAGGAAGGAGATGGAAAATGATAGAAGTGGAGTGAATAAGTAAAGTTGATGAATAATGTACAAATAGAAGTGAATGATAAATGATAAGTATGTGAGGGCAGCTCTGTTCTGAGCCCATTCCAATAGTAACCTTGTCAATTATGGTGGCCGCTGGTAGCATTGACCAGTGTGCAAAAGATCCACTGCACAGGATCCACGGCACAGGGCTCCTCCACAATATTGCATGGAACCTCATGCTTGTGCATGCCGTACTCTGGTCAAGCTTAAGTATGCTGACATCTTACATATTTTTCATGAAGCAATTATTTCAGGGTGCATTTGCATTTGAGTACCTCTGCTACATCATAATTTCTCAAAAGCTTTGCCTCTTTATGCTGCAATTAATTTTGCCCATGCACTAAACTCTGAGTGTTTAGATTTATGATGTGTGTGCACTGAAATTGTGCTGTTGGGCTGCTATACAGGATACGTTCATTGCCACATATAGCTTTTGCAACCTGCAGTATATTAGGTATTGTGGGATATATATATCACAGAAGTCCTCTTGAGGCAAGGAGGGTTCATTAGGCCATTTCAGTATCTTGTGTGTGATAGGTTTCATTTGAAGTGTTTCCCATGATGTGTTATGCTATTGGCTAGCCTTTTGTCAAGTGGAAGGAAAGTTGGGCATTTTATGAGTTCCTTTTGCTCATTTGTTGTCACTAAGATGTCTCTCTGTCTGCTTTTAGGAATGATCAACCAGCTCTAAGCATTTTTTCACAAAAAGAGACATGCTGCTTCTTCATTCTCAGCTAAGATGCTCCATCAGAGTATGTTCCAGACATCTTCCAAACCAGGTACTTAACATTCTATAAATTCAGTACACATTTAGATATAGACACTGGTTCTAGACTATCTTGTGAGTATTTTGACTGAGCTGTGCTGTGCCAATAATGTTATCCTTGTGTACATGATATTAAAAGACTCAAAGCAGCTTGCAAGATATTTATATGCATGTTAACATCTGAGTAGATATTGTTTCTACCTATTTTGCATTAGAAGTGGCATACTTACACTAAACACAGCCTTAGTTTATCATTAAAATATCCAGTTACATAATTTACAGGAACAGCACATTGCTTTTGATGACACTATAGTACCAAAAGATTAGTCAAGGTACCAATAATACCATTGCATATATTGCCAGACAGTTTTAACTACTTTTCATTGAGAAGCATGCAGTTCTTGACCTGCCTGACATCTGCTGATCTGCAAGGATTATGGATGCTAACTCATACATGTGCCTCTACTGTTCAACAAAACTGAGCTTGGTGTGTTTAAGTCAATGCAGTGATGATATGAGTAATGCAGCTGGCATGTGTCCCTTAGACTATGACAGCTGGCCTTTGCATGTGCCCTTTCAATTTAAGCCCACTTCACATGGCTTTTGCACCATGTCCAGTGCAATCAGGTGCTAGTTGCTGATGGACAGTGCTGGTATCAATGGTGCCACCCATAACTTCCAACAAATAATGATCTAAAAAAAAAATATAAGCAGGTTCTATCAATGCTATGTTTGACTCTGCTCCATCCATATGATACCACAAGCTAATCAGCTGAAAGTAACTGGAAACAGTTGGGCAGCTCTTCCCCTTTCCCAGACCCAAAACCCCTCACGCTGATAGTGGTATCAGCAGTGCCTGACGCCTGCTGTGACCGGCCCCGCTGCAGTGCGCACGGTCCTGCTCGTCGGGGGCGGCGCCGGAGCGGCCGGCCGCCGCCGCCGCCGCCACCGCCGCCGACCGGCGGGAGGGACCCGGCCTGGAGGAGTTCTTGGCCGGCGAGGTGCCGGCCGGCGCCACCTGGCGCAGCTACGCCGGTCAGCTGCGCCGCCAGCCGGGGGACCGCGGCCGCCTCCGCCTGCCGCCCTGGCTCAAGACCGAGATCCCCATGGGTGAGGTGGAGCGGATGGTAGCCGCGGGGCGGAGAAAGAGCGGAGCCGCTTGTGGTGTTCGACATGAGCTGAAGCGCTAGGGCCGTGGCGTTACGTGCATGGTTTGTATCTTCAGAAAGGGGCTTTTATTTTTAGCCGGGGAGGAAGTGTATGCAGTGCCGTGTGAGGCTGTAGTTTGACTAAGTCGCTAAACATGCCAGTTTGAGACAGCTGTTAACCACTAGCCACCTTCTCTGTGGCAAAGGATATCAAGGTGACTGATATATTTTGCCCTTGAGTGGTTGCATCCGTAATGTAGGCTTCGGACTCTGTCGTTAAACGCCGGGTACCGCGATGACAGGGAAGAACTACACCAAGCTGAAAGACACACTGCGTGGTCTGAACCTGCACACCGTCTGCGAGGAGGCCAAGTGTCCCAACATCGGCGAGTGCTGGGGAGGCGGTGAGGACTCGACGGCCACTGCCACCATCATGGTACGCTTGGGGCAGCACGCTGCTGACGTGCTCGTCACATTAGTGAAGTCGGATGAACCAGCAGATCAATTGCCGACCAAGCATTTCGGACTCCAAATTGTCTAGAATGGTGTATACCGACAATAAAGTACGGATGTATTGTGCATTATCGTTGAGTTAGCGGAGCTATTCGATTGATGGGTCACACAGCTTACGCGATGCTTCGTTAGCGTTTTGAACCAAAGTCCAAATACCTTCCCCTCGAGATGGCTAACCCCCTCCCTCCCTTTACGGTGTGTCCCCGATCGACCCCTCCCCTCCCCTCACAACACCCGCTCGCCCTGCGGCAGGTGCTGGGCGACACGTGCACACGCGGCTGCCGCTTCTGCTCGGTGAAGACGTCGCGCGCGCCGCCGCCGCCCGACCCGGCCGAGCCGACCAACACGGCGGCGGCCATCGCCAGCTGGGGGCTCGACTACGTGGTGCTGACCAGCGTCGATCGCGACGACTTGCCCGACGGCGGCGCCGCCCACTTCGCGCTCACCGCCGCGGAGATCAAGCGCAGGTGGGTGGCTGTCACCCCGCCGGCGGCAGGTGAGGGGATAGCTACGGTGTGGCTGGAGGTCTGGCAGTACGGAGGAGCGAATAGCTGCGGTGTGGCTGGAGGTCTGGCAGGACGGAGGAGGGGATAACTGCAGTGCGGCTGGAGGTCCGAGAGGGAGAAGGGGGCTGCGAGGACCAGAACCTCATAACACCGACTATTGATCTTGCGGTGTAAGCTAAATGTTCTGGATCCAGACCCCACGGGCTCTGCTGCTGTGGGGAGATATCGATAGCCACGAGCTGCGGGTAGGCGTTGAGGGGCGCGTCGGCGTCGGGGCCATTTTGCGAGTCACAGGTAGACAATGCAGCAGCAGAGGAGGGTGCCAGCAGCGCAGCTCCACGGCGCGGCGCTGAAGGACAGTCGCCCGATGGTATAAAAGGGTCGGACTGTGAATTGGGCGTGCGCTAGTTAAGCGTTCGAGCCAGGTGGACTCGGGTGCCGTGCGGCGGAGGTGTGTGGCCGAGGCCAAGTCTGTGCCGTGTTGTGCCCAGTCGGCCCTTGCTGGCTGCGGACACAGGGTAGCCCTGACCCGCCAGCCCGGCCAGCCGGCAGGGGTGTGCTGCAACTGCGTGTGCAATCTGGTGGGTGTTCATTCCCTCTGGGGGTTTGTTGCACTGCGTCAAGGGCCTCGCTGTCAAGTGTCTGGTCAATCGGACTCGTGCGTGCCGGCATTGTATTCCGTCATGTGCACAGCCATGCTGTGTGTTGCGCAGACTGATTGTACTGCCCTAGCTCTTGTCCACAGTTATGCAGCTTCACTCGTGATGTCATGGTGACTGCGTTAAAGCAGCAGCGTCCGCTATACATTCCCTTGTGGCGAGAGTTACATTGGGTTGCCACAGAGGTTAGTTTCTATGCGGCCTTTTACGAAGTCACCGAAGCCATGTTCTGAGGATGCTTGCATAACCTGTACTGTTCATCCTGAGCAGAGCTGGATGGCCTCAGTTCTGTTGTGCAGCCACGGACAGCCCTGTTACTAAGGCCTGTCCGTGGAATGTCGCTGACCCCAGGTGACCTGACCCGGCGTGGTCTCACCCGACAGGAACTCGGCGAATCCTGGTGGAGTGTCTGTCCGGAGACTTCCAGGGCGACCTGGACTGCGTGAAGACGGTGGTCGACTCCGGCCTAGACGTGTTCGCACACAACATCGAGACGGTGGAGCGACTCACACCCCAAGTGCGGGATCGGCGCGCTAAGTACAGGTCAGTGGGCGAGCGCGGGACCGGTGCCGTCTCAGGTCGTCAGGGAGCGGATGCGGGACCGACGCCATCCCAGGTCATCAGGGAGCGGGTGCGGGACCGGTGCCGTCTCAGGTCATCAGGGACTGGGTGCGGGACCGGTGCCGTCTCAGGTCACCAGGGAGCGGGTGCGGGACCGGCGCCGTCTCAGGTCATCAGGGAGCGGGTGCGGGACCGGTGCCGTCTTAGGTCACCAGGGAGCGGGTGCGGGACCGGCGCCGTCTCAGGTCATCAGGGAGTGGGTGCGGGACCGGTGCCGTCTCAGGTCGTCAGGGAGTGGGTGCGGGAACGACGCCGTCTCAGGTCATCAGGGAGCGGGTGCGGGACCGGTGCCGTCTCAGGTCACCAGGGAGCGGGTGCGGGACCGGCGCCGTCTCAGGTCGTCAGGGAGTGGGTGCGGGAACGAAGCCGTCTCAGGTCATCAGGGAGTGGGTGCGGGACCGGTGCCGTCTCAGGTCACCAGGGAGCGGGTACGGGACCGGCGCCGTCTCAGGTCATCAGGGAGCGGGTGCGGGACCGGTGCCGTCTCAGGTCACCAGGGAGCGGGTGCGGGACCGGCGCCGTCTCAGGTCGTCAGGGAGTGGGTGCGGGAACGAAGCCGTCTCAGGTCATCAGGGAGTGGGTGCGGGACCGGTGCCGTCTCAGGTCATCAGGGAGCGGACGCAGGGCCGGCGCCGTCTCAGGTCATCAGGGAGCATGACGCGCTCGGCGGCTGGGCGGTCTGAGAGGATGCCGAGCCCGAGCAGGCCCGCGTGGTGGACGTCATTTCAGTGGCGGATGGAGCGTCGGGCGCCGTGCGCTGGTGAACAGAGCCGTGGGCTCTGCGGACTGAATCGCACGCGTGTGCCGAGTCTTCGTTCAGGACCAACCGGCAACTGACGACGCGGCGCTGCCGGGCCGCGGCGGCACCTGTCTTGTATATTCGGCGGATGCCCGTGCTCTGGCACATGGACGGTCATGTATGCATATTGCGCGGGTTACGGGAAGGGTATCAAAGGCAAGTTAACACCAGCTGAGTGGAGTAGGATCGCGGTGTCACGGCGCTGTCCGAGCTGGGAGCGACGTCTAACTCCGTGTGTTTGCCGGCGTATCGGCCAATGCCTGTTTGGTGCAGCTTCGACTCCCACGTGACCTGTGCTGCTGGCCCCTGGCAGAACCCCATCATCGTGATACGTGACCCCTGACCCTGACCGTGACCGTGATACGTGGCCGTGATACTGACTGGTGCCCGGGCCACCGTCAGGCAGTCGTTAGCGGTCCTCGAGCACGCCAAGCGGCTGCAGCCCGACCTGGTCACCAAGTCCTCCATCATGCTGGGCCTGGGCGAGACCGAGGAGGAGATTCTGCAGACCATGACAGGTATTCGGGCTGAATGCACTGGGCATCCTCTCGTAACCTCGTGGTGTGTGATTTCTGTGCGGTTGGATGTACCGGCCTGCACACGTACGCGGCCTGCGCTCCGTGTTTATCCGGGATGGGCCCGCCGAATGTTGCAGGGTTGTGTTGTGTGCTACTAGGGACGCTGCTACGCCCCGTATGCCTTGGTCTGTAGCGTCGTTGGCTGGTCAAAGCCTTTAGCCACGACCCGTACAACTTTGCGTTAGCACCGTGTGTGCTGTTCTGCTCCCTCGCCTAAACGCTCAGTTCAACTCCATTTCCGTCACTGAGCCCGCCGCTACCTGCGCTAAGGCTGCTGTATCGTCCGACAGACCTGCGGGCGGTGGGCGTGGACTGCCTCACTCTCGGCCAGTACATGCAGCCAACCAAGCGGCACCTCAAGGTGGTCGAGTACGTGACACCCGCGCGGTTCGACCAGCTACGCGAGGCCGGCGAGCGGCTCGGCTTCCTGTACGTGGCCAGCGGACCCCTGGTGCGCAGCTCCTACAAGGCCGGCGAGTTCTTCATCAAGAACGTCCTGCGGGACCGCAGACGGCAGAGCCCAGACGACGCGGCTTGAGCTCTCCCGGGAGTGCCGACGCTCGACGGCGGCTTCCGAGGGGTCTTCGGTGACGCGCTCCGCCGGACGCGGCCGGCGCTCCAGCGTGCTGGCTGCCGGATGCGCTGTTGACGTGTGGCCGGCCGGACTGGCCACCAGGGTGGTGCAATATGTGATGTGTATGCGTATCGTGCGCTGAGAGGCCTGGTGCCATAGTCAGGGGCCGCCAGTGACCAGCTGGTGCAAAGCCGGACGTACCTCCGACAGCAGATCTGGGAGTCATGGAGCTATCGCGGACAAGTGCTCGGGAACGGTAGCGCCTCTTGGTGACTGGGTGCCTGTCCCAACGCACCCAGTAGTGATCGCCCGCGACGGACGCATGCGTCGAGGGCGATGTCCCCGCAATGTTACCACAGCAGAGTGCCCGCTACTGATGATGATTTGGGCTTTAGGGCGCCGATGTGCGGGGAAGTAGCCATAAATCCCGGTGTGATCCGGGCCCAGGCGAACTACTCATGGGCTGCCAATATATGCAGGCAAATATTGCGGCTGTTTCCAGCTCTTGTGTTATCCGGGGCCATGTTGTCCGGAGCTCCAGACAGCGGACAGCAGACGCGGCATTCGATTTCAAATATTGTCGAAAACAAACGACACGATATCTTGCCTGTGCCAGGCCAGGATTTATTTATTAAATAAACGATGCGTCATAAAACAACGATTATAAAAGGCCCCCGCTCGCGCCCGACGTCCCGCCGGCTCTTGTTGGATACATTGCCGCGACTGATCCATCGACGCATCTGCACGCGGAGCAATGCCGGGGCATCCCGCGACGGCACGCGGAGCAATGCCGGGGCATCCCGCGACGGCACGCGGAGCAATGCCGGGGCATCCCGCGACAGCATGCAGAGCGGTGGCGGGGCATCCCACAGCGGCACAAGGAGCAATGCCGGGTTATCCCGCACCGGCACGCGGAGCGTTGCACCACGGTATCTCGCACCGGGCCGTCGCGACGAGGAACCAATGCGGTGGCGTCCGCCGCCCTCCCACCCGCGCCCTCGGCTGGCTGCTTGGGCACTCGCGAGGGAGCGCGAGCGTGGGAGAGTGCCGGCAGACCCGGACGACGTGTGGAGAGGGGGGGGGGGGGGGGAGACCACAAAGCAATCAGCGAATCACTTTCAGTCACATGGACTTGTAAATGCCTATCTGGCTGGAAAAAGGCAAGCCACAGCGTCGCGAACTTGCAATCGTTTACCACCTGATCACACCAGCTTCGGCAAGATAATCATACAGCGCCGACGTTGACATCAATCTCACTAAATCAGCGATCACAAAATTACATTTGTTCATTTTCCACATCCCGATCCAGTGTCGTACACCGCCGGATCGCGGTAACACTAGTCACAAGACCTCTGCGCGGGGCGATCAAAACTCACCCTCCCCCAGTGCGATGGAAGCGAGGGGGGGGGGGGGAGGCAGTGCGATGACGACATTGGGCTTGGCCACACGCATTGCCACCGAAGAAAAAAAAACATACATTTTGTACCAGACGTTCGCGTAGGTACTTAAAAGGCGGTCGTCTACTCGAACCACGCCAACAAAGCACACGAGATCCGGCCAGCAAGTTAACGTTTAGGCTTCAGCGACGCTTATTCCATGCCAGTGAAGAATACACGGCTCCGCAGCGGCGTTACATGTACACGGCAGCTACACCAGCCTACCGAACTGCCCGCTAGCGTACAAGGCAATACAAGTTCGCGCCAGCCGTGAGGCGCAGATTACACGTATGAAATATGCCGCCTGCTCAGACCGCGCCGCCCACTCCCACAGGGGGTCGTCCGTGCGCCGCCGCCGCTGACAATTCGTCGGCGCTGCTTGTCTGAGTCCCCACCGGAGGCAGAAGACGGGCTCCTCGCGGCGTCCCATCATCAATCGGCGGCATCCCATGAGCAAAGATCACTTACAGAAGCTCCACGTAGTTGGCCGGGAAGAGGCCATAAGCACCGCGGCACTCGCCGCGCCACCAACCGTCGTCGATCTGAAAAACAAGTTTCCGATAACGCCGCCACGTAGTGTACAATGGATCCTTCCACGTGGGTACGATTTGTTTCATGAAACCTCGGTCCATTTAGTAGCCACACTGGTAGTTGTTGGTATTCAGCTTGGCAGGAATCTTCCGACAGCTGGACATAATATAAGGGCATTTGTAAGGTGTGCCGGCTCTGCTCACGCTTCCAGCCCTTGCTCTTCCATAGTTTGGGGATAGTTCCCACAGCTCTGACTTCAGTGGAGCCTAGACCATATATGACAAGATATTTACCTCAAGGCAGTGCCCTCTGAAGTCAACTCTGCCAAGCCACCAAGCATCCATTATGTCTCGGAACTACCTCACACGCACTGGAAAATCGCTAAAGTATGGATGGCCGACGAACGCACTGACCTTATCGATGTTTGTGATAATGTCATCCGGGTCGAAGGTCAGCTCATCGTCGTCGGCTGAAACACACATCACGGCTGTCTGAGGACGCCCGAGAGCCCCGCTCCGCCTCACTGCGTCACGCACCAGAGTCCATCACGCGCCACCTGCACAGAGTACGGCACACGCCACCTGCACAGCGAACGGCTTCGCATGAGCATCCTCTTGTATAACGAGCGGCCTCGCGCGGCATGTCGTCCTGGAGGGTGCTACACATCTGACTGGGCGGCACCCCGCACCCGCGTGGACCGGACAACGGCACACACCGCCGTCACAGGCGGCCGGTGGCCGGGCAGGCACCCCGCACCCGCGGGGCTCGGACAGCAGCACACACCGCCGTCATACGTCGCCCGTGGCCGGACAGGCACCCCGCACCCGCGGGGCTCGGACAGCAGCACACACCGCCGTCATACGTCGCCCGTGGCCGGACAGGCACCCCGCACCCGCGGGGCTCGGACAGCAGCACACACCGCCGTCACAGGCGGCCCGTGGCCGGACAGGCACCCCACACCCGCGTGGATCGGACAGCGGCACACACCGCCGTCACAGGCGGCCCGTGGCCGGACAGGCACCCCGCACCCGCGGGGCTCGGACAGCGCCCCACGCCGCCATCTGCGGCGCCACCGCCCGCCACTCACCGGCCTGGTAGTCGTATAGGGCGCGAGCCGAGACGCCCGTCTGCACGATACCGCCAGCGTCCTGCAGGTGGGGCACGCGTCAGTAAGGTCGCCACACATCCCGGCCACGCGGCCGTCCGTGTGAGGGGCGCCAGACAACCACGCCGAAGGTGGGGGCTGAGCACGGGCGAGGCCCGCCACCGCCCCCGGATGCTGTCCAGCCGACAATGGAGGAGTGCGAACGCCTCGATCGACGGCGACGCAGGCGTATCGCGGGAGGGGAGCAGGAAACGACGAAGGACGTCACTGACTTGACCGAATTATAAAACACTGACTACAGCTACACTAAAAGCGTTCACCAAGCGGGTCTGACATCTAGTTTGCTACCGTCCTGAAGCAGTGGATGTTTCGTCCAAAGGAAGAAACCCATCTGATGCGCCAGACGTGAGTTTACCTGCGCTTGCTCCATGTCACGCATCCTCTGCAGCTCCTCTTCGGCCTTGCGCTGCGCCTCCTCCAGCTGCTGCAGCGACTCCTGCTTCATGCGCTCGTCCTGTTCGCGCTTCTTGCGCGCTTCCTCCTCCTCCTGTTGGCGCTTGCGCTCCTCCGCCTGCACGCGCTCTTGTTCGGCGCGACGGCGCGCCGCCTCCTCCTTCAGCCGCGTCTCCTCTTCCTTCACCCGCGCCTCCTCTTGCTTCTGCCGCGTCTCCTCCTCCAGTCGGCGCATCTCCGCCTTGCGGCCCTCCTCCTCCTCGTGCTGGAGCCGCTCGCGCTCGGCCGCCTGCCGCTCCTCCTCCTCGGCGCCACGCCGCGCAGTTTCAGCCGCACGCTCGCGCTCGGCACGCTCCGCCTCCTCGCGCTGCTGCGCCGCTGCCGCCTGCTGCGTCTCCTCGCGCTGGCGCTGCTGAGCGGCCGCTGCCTCCTCACCCTCGCGCAGCAGCGCTTCGCGCTGCGCCTCCGCCTTGCGCAACTCGTCGCGGCGCAAGCGCTCCTGTTCGGCGGCGCGCGCCTTCTCCTGCTCGTCGCGCTCCTGGCGGCGCCGGCGCTCCTCCTCGCCGCGCTGCTGCGCCTCCGTCTCGCTCTGGCGCGCCATGTTCTCGAAGCGCGCGCGCAGATTGGAAGCCTTGACGGCGCCGCCCACCTCTAACGGAGAGCGACCGGTCAGGAGGAGCGGCTGACGCGCACCAGGGGAGAGAGGAGGGGGAGGCCATGTAAGCCTCGCACGGACACAGGTGAAACAGTGTGCAAGATGCATTTCGGAGACACGATCCTAGAACTGCAGCCAGTCGTCCCCCATACGTCCACACGTTGACGGCAGCACGCCTGGGCAGCTGAGAGCGGCCTCAGCGGAGCGGCCCAGTTCTGAGGTCAGCACACCAGTCTCCCCGGCCGCGGCCTGTTACCTGACCCCACCCCTGACTTACCCTGGTCGGGCTTGGTCCGCTCGTAGTTGGTGCCGACGCGCTGGCCAGCGTCCTCGCCGAAGCCGTGCGCCGACTTGTCCTGCCGGTCGGTCTCGACGCCGAACTTGCCGCCAAAGCCCTGACGACGGGGGCCGGTCAGCGCCGACGCGCCACAGGGAGACGCGCGTGCGCGGTGAGCCGATGAGCCTCCGCAACCAAGGCCGCTGACAATACATCCGTTACCAACGGACCTACGCGTTTCGAAACACCCACATATATTCGAAGCATAAAAAGTGCAATCGCTGCACAACGCCATGCGCGAAGTACACACCACCGAAGCAGCCCGTGGTGAAGGCATGACTCCGCTGAACCGTACGGCCGCTAAACCCTGAGGCAGCCCCTCCAACGAACGGCACTGGGGCGTTCAGCTTACTTTGGCATAGTCCTTCTGGCTCTCGTGCTTCTCCACCTTCTCGATGTGATCCCAGCCGGCGGCGGACTTGTCCTGGCGGTCCGTCTGCACGCCGAACTTGCCGCCGAAGCCAGACTTGTAGTCTGTCGGCAGTCACGGAAACGGCAATGACACAGAGAAACGCCGTGGCGATCCACCCCAGAGTGCACATTTCCAGGGCTCTCTGCTCCACTTCTTCAAGAGGTTCGCTTCCCGTGTCCGGCACAAAGTGCAAACAAACAGAATCCTACGAAAACACAGCCGAAAGATCTGAAATGTACCACTCAAAGAGCCGTCAGTTGTTACGCCCTTTACGACTTACTTGAAAGCTCTGTTAGCAGTTAACCTTACCCCTACATAGAAGGCGACCTTGTCTTTGTGCATACAGAGATGCAGCGCCACTGTTCGTCAACGGCCCGCAATCTCGCACAAGACTTTTACCTCCTTCCCCCTACCCCCCACCCTGTCATTCAGGATTTCATGCGCCGGCCTCCCACTCAGTTCGCGGGGTCACAACTCACTGCTCATTTTTATCCAGTACAGGAGTTTGCCACGGGGGCAGCGCCATCCCACACATCGCCAGCCTCCTCCCTATCCCACCCCATTCCACCACCCGTCACTCATGATCCCCCGACAGGCTGGGCGGCGGTCACGAGCGCCCGCGGCCCACCTTTCTGGCTCTCATGTTTGTCGACCGTCTCCAGGTGATCCCAGCCGGCGGCGGACTTGTCCTGGCGGTCCTTCTGCACGCCGAACTTGCCGCCGAAGCCAGACGAGTAGTCTGGCGCAGGAGGCAGCGTTAGTGGCAGCCATCAGCGGCAGGCTAAGGAGGCCATGCCCCGGGAGGCAATGCTTACTGACATCACGCCGCGGCGGGACCAAGACACCGCGGCGTGGAGGGCATGACGTCCACATGAACATCACAGTTCCTTATATTTTCTGTAGAACGCTTGGTGACAAAAAATCGAACACACAGACGTTCGGTAGGATTCACTCGACACAAACCAAAGGTACCAGCCCACACACATTACAAGCAGTATTTTCATTACCACGGTATTCCGATCGCCGACCCTTGGCCTGGACGATGAGATCGATTCATGTCCAACGAGAACAAGGGTGCAGCAGGTGGAAAGCAAGACTCTGGATGGCACGCGCCAGTAACGAAGAACTCATCCCGATGTGGGAAACAACATAATCTACTAGGCACAAGCCGGAATGCAACTCGCACATCTTCCAACAGGGAACACCGTTGAGTAGCAGCATAGCGCGCCGCTGTCACACAGCATGCTGCAGCGTTACACGGAGCAGTCACATGCTCGACTCTTCCGAGAAGGACCAGGAAAAGACGACAGACGGAAAAAGCACACGTAAGGGCCCTGAAGCACGATACTGTATGACAGCTGCATGCACAAGTAATCGAACACCGCCCCACTGGTGAGCCAAGGCCTGATAGGTCCACCGCCACCGAAGCGGTTGAAGTCACACGATAAGTCCTCCGCCCCGCACAATGACCTCACACTGCGCCTCCATCCGGCGCACACGACAGCACTCGGGGGTCATCGCTCAGGCCCTCGAAAGATCTCGCAGACACGATAGCTTGTGCAAGCGGACGATGACAGTGCGTTAAGGCGACGTATCGTAGCTGCGCCCCACGCAAGCCCCGAACGTCGACGGCGAGGTTCTCAGGCTGCACCGCAGTCACACAGCCAAACGTCGCGGGATTAGAGAGCCTATCACGCGAGCTGATAATTACCTGGGTGTGCGGATTACCCGCTCACGTCGGTTTAGAGGAAGCACTACACACGGCAGGCAGCGACACCCGAGAGCGGTGCACGGAAGAAGAACGTAGCATCGGTAAGCCGTTAGTGGAAACATCCCAAGCCGTCGCCCAGAAAACATCAGACACCGGCAAGTCAACACCGCCGGTTAACTCCGCCCCGAGGAGCGGCTGGAACCCAGCCAGAGGCGACAACGCAGGCGGAGCGAACAGCAGTGAAGTGCCCTCGCCAATGCAGACGAGGTGCAAGGATAACGTCAGGCACGCCGATCGAACGTTAGACGTGTCAGAGTGTCCAGCCCGGTTAGTGGCGTGACGTCACGAGCCGTCATCGGCGGACAGCAGGGGTCTCTTTACCGATCTGCGACGGGTGCTTCTCGACCTTCTCGACGTGGTCCCAGCCGGCGGCAGACTTATCCTGGCGGTCCTTCTGTACGCCGAACTGCCCGCCGAAGCCTGTCTTGTAGTCTGGGAGGGCGGGTGGTCAGAGGGTCATGACTGACACTCACAGGGTCCCACGAGACCCACAGGGTCCCGCCGCGGCCCTCGCGTGTGGCCGGACAGCGCAGGGGCCTTTGGGCCCACCACGGACGGCTGCAGGACCAGCCGGATCGGATGACGACACGGCGCTGGTCTGACGCGCCAGCTTCGCCCAACACGGCACCGATGTGTGGGAAGTGGACCGGGGGAGACCAGAGATGGCACACTCCACGCTGGGAAACGGAACAGGGAAGGCAAGAGACGGTGCGAGGAGCCAGGTGATTGCGTGCAAGGGGTAGGAGGCGCCGGCAACGACGTGCTAGTGCTAGTAGCAGGTCACACACACCAGCCACCGAAATGACCCATACAAGTCGGCTTTAAACCATCAAGATACCTTTTGGTTATAGACGCACACCAAAACACCACATGATCACATAGCAAATAGCACGTCGATTGTCTGCGAGCAATCCCCTGGTACAGTCAGTGTGGCATCGCATGTGAAAATGACACTGCTTTCCTCATTTGATGTTTCAATGTCATGGAGTCCTGAAGTCATCTAGTCACTTATTGATTCATCATTTAGCAATACATTTCTTCCCACAAAACAAAACAGCATAGCACGGCCATTTTTAAATCCGTTACATATCACTGGATGGTAAACTTCAGTTCATATTTTGATATGGCCGGGGTGGAATTAAAGCCGTGGTTCTCGGTTAAAGAAATTACTTGTTTCTCACATCTCATAGATAAATATTACTAATCAGCACTTCTGTAAACGGTCTTGTAAAGCTTCTGCACCGCGACCTAAAAATCCTTTTTGCCAATAGTTTCAGAGCCTACATCAGTAACAAGCAATACACTTAAATATCGGCACATACCTCCTGCTATCACAGTGTCTCCCCTCAAACCATCATCATTTTCGACACGCTACATGATTCAGGCTTATGGTCGGTAACGTAACCATTCCACATAGCCCCGTTTCATATCTAACCTCTCGTGGGCTGGCTGGGAGGGACGGAGGGGGGGGGGGGGATGACGCGAGGGTGTCGGCACAGGTCAATGAAAGGGACACCAGTAGAAATGTGACGGCAGGGGCACACCCTAGGAGTATACAGAACCTGGAACTCTGGCGACCAGACCTCATCCCCCGCATCCTTCCTTCATCAGTCCGCGACGGCCTCCAAGAAATCTGCCTAACGTGGATTCGATAACTCGCCAAGCACAACTCCGCATAGCCCGGCAGCCGTCGCTGCCACTGGGCGCCGGCCGCCTCAGTCACGGGAGCCAATTGCGCTGCTACTGAGCGAGCACCAGAACCGGCAGCTGCCCTGCTGGGCCGCCGGTGACAGGGTCGATGCCGGGCCCGGTCATGTCGAAACGTAGCCTCCGCATACAAGGAAACATGCAAATAATGGGCTGCAGTGAGCCGATCAGTCCGCATGCGAATAACAAGGGCGTCTGCAAACAAGGCATGTGTAACGCAAACGTGGTCATTATATACATATACAGACAAGCCCCAATTAGCCCCTGTCCCACGCATACCTTTCTGGCTCTCGTGTTTCTGCAGCTTTTCGATGTGATCCCAGCCGGCGGCGGACTTGTCCTGGCGATCCTTCTGTACGCCGAACTTGCCGCCGAAGCCAGACGAGTAGTCCTTTTGCGACGCATGCTTGTCCACCTTCTCCAGGTAGTCGTGGCCCACGGCAGATTTATCCATTCTGCGGGGACGTGGGTGACGGAGGCTTGGTGACAACAGGCTGAGAGACGGACACGAGGGCGGGGACGTGGGTGACGGAGGCTCGGTGACAACAGGCCGAAAGACGGACGCGAGGGCGGGGACGTGGGTGGCGGAGGCTCGGTGACAACAGCTCAAGAGACGGACACGAGGGCGGGGACGTGGGTGGCGGAGGCTCGGTGACAACAGCTCAATACGAGGGCGGGGACGTGGGTGACGGAGCTCGGTGACACAGCTCAAGAGACGGACACGAGGGCGGGGACGTGGGTGACGGAGGCTCGGTGACAACAGCTCAAGAGACGGACACGAGGGCGGGGACGTGGGTGACGGAGGCTCGGTGACAACAGGCCGAAAGACGGACACGAGGGCGGGGACGTGGGTGACGGAGGCTCGGTAACAACAGGCCGAAAGACGGACGCGAGGGCGGGGACGTGGGTGGCGGAGGCTCGGTGACAACAGCTCAACAGACAGACACGAGGGCGGGGACGTGGGTGACGGAGGCTCGGTGACAACAGCTCAAGAGACGGACACGAGGGCGGGGACGTGGGTGACGGAGGCTCGGTGACAACAGCTCAAGAGACGGACACGAGGGCGGCGTGCCAATGGCGGAGGCTCGGCAACCCCCGCTCAGACGGCGGCAGCGGGCCGACAGACGAACACGAGGGGCTTCGACGATTGATGTCATGCGTGCAAACCGCACACGGTCTTCGCGGCAATAGTGGGCTTCGCGTTAGAGCTGAACATTCGGTCTCGTTTTGTAAGTGAAATATCCGGGTCTGTATATTCAAATGTCTGGGACGCTTGATCGTGATTAGACGTTTAGGTGAATATTTGTCGAACAGCACATACCCACACAAATGTTTAATTGCGCCGCGAATTTGGAGGTCATCGGATCAAGGACAGATCATTGTCGACGGTCAGCACAGGGTTGCTCCTTTTTTGCCGCGTGTTTACATCAACCAACTTTAAGGACTGTTACGCATAAATTACCTTTCCGCTGCATGGATAGAAAATTGGGTCATTTCCTATTGCCTCCTAAATTTCAAATAAGATCTCCTCACCGCTTAGCGACCTTTATCCTTGTGCGCCGCTGTTTTCAGCATGGGTTTTATGGGGGTCACGTACGCCAGTGGTGCACCGGCTTTGTGGTCAAGTTCGCCTCACTTCCGGATTCGAACCCAGTGTCAAGCGACCCTCAGCAGCTGATCACATCCTCCCGGTCATAGGAATGACAGCGTTAACCATCAGTTAGATAAACAATGTAATATTTCCTTTTAAAAACAAGAGCGCAATTTTCAGCACAATTTTCAGTGTTTTCTGACAATAAAATAATGATCATGGTGTCTACAAATATGCTGAATGTGAATGTTCTGTCGCATATATGAAAGTATTATAATGAAATGTTCAGCTATATTTCATTTATAAATCATTTCGACATTAGGCAGAATATGCTGCCTAAAGTGTGTAAAATTCATACTGATCTCAGTGTTATCTGCAGACTGATTTCATGCAGACCATGTCAAGTTTTGTTTCCTATCCACTCCATTGATAGTTTGACAAAGGTCTGCAGTGTAGTGTAGGTCAGTCACAGCTCCGCTTCTCACCTGTCCGATTCAACGCCGAATTGACCTCCATAGCCGTGGGAGCTCTTTGGCCCCTGCTGCTTTTTCATCTCCTGGTCAGCTTTTTCAGTTTCCTCACGCAGCTTTTTCATGCTGAAAAGTACGTTAATAAAATGTTACTAAACACATCCCAGGAATGGTACCAGCAAATATGGCACTGTATTACTACACTTCAAATGGGCATTCACTGGCATTAAAAAATACAGGTAACAAAAACAAAACAACTAAACACATTAATGTTCCTCATTTTTGTCTTAAATCAAGGACAAGTTTGCTGGCAGACCATGTGATATTCCAGACCTAATCTATACAAGCACATATTATCAATTGTTCCATCAATCTGTTGAAATACTGTCAGCATAAAACATTGCCATCTAATCATAGCACATGCTAAAACATGTTTTAGATTCTAATTTGAATTAGATTAACCTGTCTCAATTAGAAACCATGTTTTAGGTTATCTTTTAATCTGATTCCTCTTTTTTCTCATCCTTATTTCATGGTGATAACAATGACATTGATACTATGTCAGCTATGTGACATCACAACATTTCCACACAATGATTGGCATTGATTTTCTAAGTTAAAAATGATGGTGGATGCCTCAGGTGGTGATGCTGGAAAGTGGGACCAATGGCAGTGGGCATTGTGAACACCTTAATAAAGCTATCCTCACTGAAGACACCTTTTGTGCAATACCTTGTCCTGAAAACAATTAATTTTTTCAGCCAAATCAGATCTGGCATGAATGGTGTTGGCATGACAGTAACCTCATGATCCAATTTTCCACAACAACCTCGACCACAACAACCCTACCAATAAGAAACAAATCGAACTCACTTTTACCTCAAATGTCCTCACAAATTTGACCTCACCACTCATTCCAATAAACTAAATATTGTAAAAGATGCGACTGCTGCCTTCTATACAACAAATCCTTAAAAAATAGCAATAAGGCATCAACAGTCCATCTGAATGTGTCAACACTTCCAACAGATGGTAGTGCAACTTTAGCCTTTCATCACATTCAATGTCATCATAATATACAGGCCAATGACAAATTTGTATACTCCATCTAGCTGATTTCAATGACCTTGATGCACTGTTGAGAAATGTAATGTCATTCCACACATAAATTTCCTCAGGCAGTCAAAGCATGAAAACTTGATGTATTAACCCCTTTAAATAGCAACATTTCATAACATTGTAAAGAATCCAGACATCACAGCCTTTGATGTGATCTTAGGAGCATATACTGTTTGTTGCTTCATGTCGATTATCAGAATGAAACATTTTTACCGCAATCGGTGGAAATTGAGTACAGAGTGGCATCTCCAGGACAACTTAAGATCAGCCCCATGACATGACACAGAAACCATAAATCCAAAAATACCAATACTTGGCTTTCTTTTCTGTCATCAAAGCTGGCAATCAAAGTATTTCCCTTTTTTTAACAAATAACCGCAGGTCCAATTTTCCTAAACACATGACACAGTTATGGTAAAATGCCCAGTTATTGATATGCTCAGAACAAAATGTGAAGATCATTGAGAGTCAATGTTTAAAATAAGTGATGCTGCTAAAAACAATTTCAAAGGTCAAACAAAAATATTTGAGTCACAATTAAACAAAATCTAGTAATTTGAAGAAAAAAAAATTGGTGCAACTAGGAGTGGCCTAAGTATCTGCATGCTACAGGTTCAGAGCAATGGCATGTAGCTGTCCAACAGTGAATCATTTCTTGTAGGCTGTCTCTCATACAAACAGTCAAGGCATTCTATCTTCACCATGGTGCAAATATAGAGGTCATATAGGGGGACATGACAAGATCAAAATACTCCATGCCTAGTGATTAATGACATCAGTAACATAAGCATGTTACAAATGCATCACTAATAATGGAACTGTGTCATATGTATGTGGTTTTTAAGGTGCATCACAGACAAAAGGCCTGAGTCTATAGACAACACAACAGTCAAAATGTAAGGATGCTCTCAATGGAGGCTATGGGCTTCCTCAACATGCACTCACACAGACTAACATCATCATTTAAAAATAAGCTATGTGTTACTCATTAAAATATCAAGAAAAAAACACAGATAAGCTCCATGATATGAACCCAAAATTATAGAATAATATAACACCCACCTGAGTCTCAAAACAAAGCAGAATGTACATGCAGAGCTATCATAATGCATCCAAACACAATAATGGAGCTGTCAATGGTAACTTACTCAACACTTCCGGCAGTTCGTCCTGAGCCCTCCACGGTTTTGCTTCCCCATCTTTGTTCCTGTTCACTGACATCATTGACAAAATCTGGGTCAGTTTCCCAGTCGTCATCTGGGGCAGCCTCTTCGATCTTTACGTCTCTTCCCACAGCAGCCCTCCACATCGTGAATTTCTCTCACGGACTACGATTAGAGACAAACGGCAATCTTTTAAAATATATGAATACGCGTATATGCCTGATTCACCCCCCGGGTCACACCCGTCACACCCCAAGCTGGCAGCAAGGCGCCAGTACGCCCGGTATCCGACGCACTCGAATGTAACAGGTGCGTCAAGTACGCCGCTGTAGCGGGAAGTTTATTTGTTCTCTTTTTCTTTTTTATTGTATATTTTTATCGCCAAAGGCGACCGGAGATAACTGATGGGGCACATGCTAATTACAAGCGGTAGGCGGTCATGTTCCTATGCGCTAAGATGCACATTCCCGGTGGTGGAAATCGCTGATTATTTTTCATTGAAATGTTTGAATCGCAAATGTTTGCAGGCATTAATGTTCGCATCTCCTTCGAAACACTTGGAATTTCAATGATGATTGAATTTTATGGTTTCCGGGGATTCGACGTTCGCATCTATTAGCGCGGGCAGGGGACACAGGGGGAGAGTGCCAATCCCCCCGCCCCCCTTAAGTTACGAGGGGTCCTAACAGGCTCTCGCGATCTACGAGAGCCCCTTATTATTAAGGACCGCGCTGATCAGGGGCCCCCTGAGTCGACGAGAATCCATAGGTCTGTCAGAAACCACTCGGAGCATAGCCGGCTCCGTGGCAGCATGGGGCTGAGGGTCCATTCCCCAAGCAGGGACAAAACCGGGGCCAGTGATTTACAACGTTTGGAATCGCAGCGCCTGTCGGATCCTCACAGCGCCTAACAGCGGCCCTGTGTTGGCAAGGGGCCCCAAGTCGGCCAGAGGCAGTGTTCGAAGAGGCCCAAAGACTCTGGAGCGCTTACCGGGTCCGACGACCAAGGGCCCGATCGGAGACTCTAACGGCGCGAAGTGCTGGCCGCG